TTGGCAGCCAGTCCCAGCACAGAGCTGGTACCTGGTGTGCTCACCAGGGGAAGCTCACCAGCTCCCCAGACCCCGTCTCCCAGCTCCAGCCACCCCAACACCAAGGAAGGATGAAAGGAGGGGGTGTCCAGCCAGGGTGGTAGGCTCAGGGACGAGCACCAGCACTGATGCTCCCATCACCCCCACAGTCCTGCCCCAGTGAGTGCCCACCCCAAAGGGACAGGAGCTGCCCTAGCACCCTCCCTGTAGCCCAGGAAAATAACCCTAGGGAGAAGTCTCAGCCAGTGGTTCTGTCCAGGTTTAGTACTCTGCCCTGGCTCACTGGGTGGAGTGAAAGGCAACAAGCACCCCAGAGACTGCACACCTCAACTACCCCTCCCCTTTGTGCTTTATGTACTCCAAGGGGAACTTCAGATGAGTTCACTCCTCAAGCAGGAGCTGAAATGGCTCTTTCCATCTCATCCCTATAGCTTTAATGTGTATTTCACAGTACTGATTTCAGTTTCTCTTAATTGCTTAATCAAGAGTGCAAAGTACTTATATCTTAAGAGAGCTAGCCAGCTCACAGCAAGGATATTCTAAAGCCAAAGATAGTCCTTTTTGTAAGGGTAGTTGAAAAAATGTGAAATAGGTGAATTTTCATTCATTCTTAATTTTTATGGAAGCAACACAATTCTTGTAACAAGCAGTTTGGGGAACCCAGTGTGACAGAGATGTGGAGGGGGAAGTGAGTATCCTACATTTACACTAGAAGCAGAACCACAGAAATCTGCTTTTTGTAGCACAATTAGTTTTAATTCATATATAAAAGTAGATCTAGGTCTCTGTTATATTAGCTGTACTCCCCTCATTTCTGTATTCTGCCTGATACCTGCTTATACTGAGTTCTCCAGACATTCCTTCCAACTCACTTGATCCTTTGAAGCTGACAGTTATCTACAAATTCAGGCACTGAAGTAATTTATTCTTTTAGAAGTGTTAAGCATTTAAAACTTGCAGCATCAGATTGTGCAAATATTCAAATTTTCTGGAAGAAAAAGAAAAGGAAAAAGCATTTACCTTGATGTCTACATCTATGCACATATTCTCCCCCTACACACTTATCTAGAGGCTTTTCCTCATGCATGAGATTTCCCATTTTTCTCCTTGTGCTTTCCAGGTACTTTCCACATATCGTGACATAACAGCTAAATAACACAAGAAAAGAAACTCAGATTACCTGTTACCATTTTATTCAAATTACCTTTCTTATTGTGAAAGCTTTCCTAAGATGGCTTCTGTAGAGACAAACGTATTCACTGGCAATGTGAAAGGAAATTATTAAAATTCATCTAACCGTGATGCAAGAGTTTTGCACTGACCTGCACTAACACAAGAAAAAACCACAATTTACCAGTTTGGACAGAAGTAATTCCTGGACTTTGCCTCTATTTGGTTTCATCAAAATCAAGCGTTTCTCCCAGTAAACAAGACAAACACACCCAAAATGAAAAAAAAAAAACCAAAACCCACACGAACACTTCAACGAGTTACTGTGGTTCTGCATGTGTAAGATCAGGGGTTTCACTGCCAAGGCTTGTTAGAAAAGAACAACCAGAAAATTTTTGCAAAACAGATTACTATTATGAAGGGCAGTAACAGCTATCAATAATAGAATATACATCAACCTACTGCTTTTTAGATAGTCAATATTAATTGGCAACCTATTTTGGAGCTGTTAAGAGACCTTACAGACACCATTTGCCAGGTCTATGCTAACACTGTGAAAATAGGCCTGATAACAGTTACTTCCTTGTCATTTCCTTTCAAAAATGACACAATGCTGTTTCAGCGATCAAAGTAATTTTTATCTCATAAGTGTAACTCAAAAATAGATTAGGCCTTATAGAATGATTTTATATTTATGATCTGAATTATCGGGCAGACCTCATGAGAAACTGAACTTGCAATTCACAAGGGCTCCGGACTGCTCAGAAGGAAGCAAGATAAAGGCACAGGGAAATAGGGGGGAAGGAAAAGAAAATATTGGGTGAGAGGTCTGGCACCTATCAACATCGCTGCAAGCTTGCCAAGTCTCATAATTTCATCACTAGGCTTCAGGAATATCAAAAGAGCTATTATTAAGTTTTTTTATTCTAGCCCATCATGTGATCAGGAGAACAGATGCCAAAAGCCAGCCATTACAAGGAAGTGACCATGGCTAGCATTAAACCAAGATTATTTCTGCACAGAGTGGACCATCTATTGCTGCTTTAAATGGGATCTAAACCCCTTTAATTGTAATGGCAGCACGAAATGTGGGTGTGCATCAGACTGGCTTGTCCTGAAGAAGAAACAGAAGGGAATGGATCAGGAAATATCCATGAAAGCTAAGCAACCAAGGAAAAACACTGATAGGAGGCATACTCAAGACCTGAAGGCATGTTTGGGGCAGAATCCAGATGCCTGTATGGAAGGATGGAAACCTAAATGTAAATGAGGAGAGGGAATGCAGAAAGTGAGCAGGAGGTTAAAAAATTAAATAAATGAAGTAACACTGATGACATGACATCTTTAGTAGTTAAGGACAGTTGAAAGAATGAGTGATACCTGCAGCCTTAAGAAGGAACATGACCAGGCCAGACATTTCTTGCAAAACAGGAGGACCAGAGTGGGACAGTAGCATTTCTCCAGCCCAGGCTACTGGGGAAAGGATAAACAAAGACCTCTTGGAGAAAGGAGAGCAAGATACACCCATTCCTAGCTCAGAATTGAATTTTACAGTGAGAAGGCATCACATAAAATGAGGACAGAACATTTCCTTTTAAAGGTGAAAGATGACAGCCAGTGGAAAGTGCTACTTAATCACAGAATCTCATTTTAATGCCAGTCCAGTTGCTGGGATCTACCTTACAGTTTGCACATGCCTGGGGCTGGCAATAAAGCAGTGGTGAGAGGAGGTCTCATGGAGATGTCATGGCCTCAAGTTGCAGAGCTTGCCAGAAACAGCCTCCTCAGTGGCTGCTTTACAAGACAAGGGGAGAGTGAACTTACACTGGGAGAGACGGTACAACAGCAATCAGCTGCTGTGCTACAAGAGCTGCCCATGCTACAGCACACAGATTTGTCAATATTTACTCCATAGAGGAGAGCAGTACATAAAATTACACAGTGTAATATATGTATTCTATATAATATATGAGAATTATGCCTTCAGGAAACACCAGCAGCTGAATCACTGAATTGCTGTCTCACCAAACTGTCCCGTCCCAAATGCTGATGCACACCGAAGTCCCCGGCATTGCTTTGATACTGGACAAACAGACTTCTTAGTGAACTGAATCTCAACAAAGCAGCCTTAACATGAGCATTTCTACCTGTCCCATTCAACAAGAGCACAAATAAACTGGTGGCAGTGCCACAGTGGGCACTGCTTGGCCTCCAGCCACAGCAATGCCGCTGGCACGGTGCAAGGAGCTGTGCCCAGGGGTGCCAGTGCAGTTGGGCTGGAAACTCTAAGAGGTCCTGTAAACAATTTTAATTACCCATTCTTGGAGGATAGAAGGACTGGTTGGAACACGTGCAGGTGAAGCAGCTTGTTTACATAACAAATGAGGTATGTGAGGTGCTTTGTGTAACAGTGCTGCACAGTGCAAGATCTCTCACCTGGAGAGCTGTGTTTACCAGCTATACACATACAAGACCACCTTCGTGTAGAGAGTAAGCTTTTAGATAAAATATTCATAACATGATCCAACAGTGGCATGAAAGAGGGTTTGAATGGACAAAATGTCTAATACTTGCAAAAAACCAAAAACAAACAAACAAAAAAATAGGCAGCCACCAAGTCTTTGATTCTTGAATACACCACACAGTGCCACGAGTCATTCAAAGTTTTCAGTTCTTGCTTGCGCAGCCACCCTCCAAAAATAAATCCACCCTCCTTGGAAAACAAAACTTATATGAAAAAAAAAAACAAAAAACCAAAAAAACCCTGACAAACCAAAAAAACTCAAGAGGTCTACAAGTGCTAAATGTCTGAATTCAAGGAAAAAGTCATTTAGTCCCGATCCTCATACAATGGCATCATGCATTTATATGTTTCCATGACATTTTCCAACCAAAAGCCAAAAAGAACAATAGGGATTTTTGAGGCCTGTAAATTGCACAGAACTCAGGAAGAAGGAAGAGACAAAAATGAAACAAACAAGTGATAGAGCTGGATAGCTGCAGTGTGGATTGTACATTGAAAGACAGCGACAATCTAGGGAATACTATTTTTGTGCTTGGCTCTTTGTTGATTGAATATGGTTCTCCCAACACCTAAGAGTTTGACAGACTTCTATTCCTCTCTAATAGTGGAAATCTCTGAAGGAAAAACTGTAAGGAAAGAAGTATCCACCTAAACACTACCTTTTAAAAATGCTATTAGAAGATTTTAAAAGACCAGCAATCTTGCAGTTTCCTTCAGCACATTATGGACAGCAAATATTAATTTCAAACTCAAATCTAAAGCATTTCTACTCATATATACTCTGTTCTAATAAAAAACAGTCCAAATTTGAAAATACTGCAACAAGAAAAACAAGTTTTAAAGCGTAGAACTTAGAGCACCTCAAAGATCTTTTGAACTTTTAAATATCTGGGCTGGGGATGTGGGGGGAAGCAATAAGCAATATCTCAAAATGAAAGAAAAACTTCTCTACATCCTTTGCTACTTGAAAAAAAAAAAGCTCTAAAATAATAGCATAACTATCTTGTTAACCACTGTGCCTGCAAAGGCATCGCTTTTTGTCTTCTGGCCTTTGTACATCAGTTCACCAGGAGAAAGAACTGGTCAGAAGCTGTATAGAACAGAGATGGCTTCTGCTCAGAGGTTTAGAGGCAGATTTCACTTAAAAATAATTATCACAATTATTTGCACGGTTCTGCCAGGGGAAAAAAAAATTATCCTCAACCCAAAAAACCATCCAGTGTGACAGCTTTCTGTAGGAATATGTTTATCTTACCCTCTCTCTTACCTTATCAGACACATCTCCTCGTCCTATTCAAAATACAGCAAATAATGAAATTCCATCTGCAACAAAAGGAAAAGCCCATTAATACCTCCTGATAACCTTACAACAGAAGTCTAATAAGCAGTTGAAGAAAAAAGAAAAGTTAAACTTCTCCTGCCATTCCAGTATAATCTACACCCCAGGCAAGTCGCCCTCCCATTTGTGGCAATCTGGGAAGCATGGATAGTAAAGGTATTAAAGATGTTGTAACATGTCCTGTAAGAAACATGTTCTTCCTCCTTTGGCAGGACTACCAGAGGTGGCCAAAGCATGAAGGTTGTCCTGCAGAGTCGTAAGTAAGTCTGCAGCATCCTCTCATTAAATTAAATGAGCATCAAATTGCATAATGTGAACAGCTGTAAAATGAGACCAACGGTAATGGCTAGAAATAATCCCAATGGTGTTATACATCGTGGAGACAATTTTCCATCAGACTATCAAACCTGGGTAAGCAGCACTTTTTATCTCCAAGCCAAGAAACTGTCAGCATGCAGCCTCTGTTAAGAAACAGTAAAGCACGCAAGAAAAGGATGGAACAAAACTCTCATGCTCAAGTTTAAATGATGCCTACCCCAAACAAGGACATTTGATTTCCTAAGTCGTTTACAGACCAACCTTTCAATGCAACCAAGGATTTTTTATAATATAGGTAAACATGATAGTCTGTCATACTTGGTGTCAGACGAAAGAATACCACACACCTAACCAAAAAATTTGCAACCTTAAAATTATCAATAAAATTTACAGTCTGAATAGACTCAGGCTCAAACAAACACTTTGCCACAGCACTATGAAGAAGAGACAACATGACCTGCAATCCAGCCAGTACATGAGTCACTAGGGCAGAAGAAAGACCTCCCATCTGGCAATCTGGAAAACTCTAAGAGTTTTCCTAGAGTGAGAAGTGTGAATCAAGGACCTAAAAAACCAAACAAACCAATCCCTTCACACTCTTTTAGCCCATCCAGTGTCCTTCCCATGAAGTCCAGAAGCCTGTTAGTCCAGTGCCAGAGTGGAAAAGGTCAGAAATGTGCAATGGTGAAATGGCACACAAGAGAATACTATTAAAAAAACAAACAAACAATGCTTAATTTTTCAATCCAGTTATCTGGGGGAAGATACAGCAGGAATTAAAGCATTTGAAGCAAAGAGCTTTCATGTTTGCTGTAGTGATGCTCTAAAGGTATCTCTGTGCCTAAAGTAAAAAAACCTCACTTGTTTTTTTTTTTAACACCGAGCAGCTGCAGCCATGATGTCAACAGACCCCAGCAGGAACCCACAGGGGCTCAGTGCTACAGAGAGGTGACATCCTTCACCACTGCCATTTCCCCACCAGCAAAATGGGGATGGCGGCATGAGGGTCCCCAGCCAGCATCCAAATTGCCAGCTCTGGGGTGCCTCCTTTTTCTGCTAAGTGCTAAATAATAAGCCTTTCATCCTGCAAATACCATTTTCTCAGATTATATTGATAATTAGTAATTTTTTGGCATCACCAGAATAATATGACGACTCAATTACACCACTATGGAATTTGTTTTTTTGTTGTTTTGTTTTGTTTTTTTTTAATTGTTTGGTTAGTTTTTTTGTTTTTTCCTTAGGAAGAAGAGATCTTCTGTCCACATTACAGAAAGACTGAACAAAGAGAACCACTGACCAAGAGCCCACTTCAGTATCCCTACCCTCCTATTCCCCTGCCAACCCAGTAAAATTCCTCAGAGTACAACCTCTTCCTGCCTATTTTCAGAGCAACTGTAGCAATCATACAAGAACAATGGGGAAGTTTGTTTTACTCAAAGAGTAAATGTTTTGCAGTTTCCAATGTAAATATTATAATTAATGGACTTTTTTTTTAACTCTCTACTGCCTTACTTGTGTTCACATTCACACACAGCCATCAGGACAGAAGCAGCACTCAACTGCTCTAATACAGAGAATCCAACATAGAAAAATGACATGCTGACTTCAGAAAAAGCACCTTCATAACCAAATCAAAATTCAGTGGGCATTTGCTGGGGGACATCTGTTATAAGAATTTAAGAGAAGCAAGTCTGCTCTTGCTCTGTGTCCAGCCAAGAGCCCATGTCAGTTCCCTTTGAGACTGTGGGCCTATTTTCATATGCAGCTTGTAGAAAACCACAATCCAATGTATTTTTGAAACCACATTATGTCAAATGACCAGGCTACAAGGAAAAAGTGACTTATCTTTCTGTGTCAAACATCAATATGGTGGCTCTTAACTACTCATCACTGAGCATCCACTTCACAGAAATGCTCAAATCTCCTCTTAATAATCCATAAACCAAGTGTTGCAGACTGTCAGCAGGATGGGACTCAGATTCACTCTCTCTAGGCCAGACTGTTTTGGTACTACAGAAAGTGGCTGCACTGAGATGCCAAGCCACCCTGCACATGCTCTCTGATGGCTCCTGGATCGAGGAGCACCCCAGGTCTAGGCAGCTCTTTCTCTTTGAACAGTGAGAATAAACTATCTTCCTCCTCTGCCCCCAGATACCAGGATAAAGTTTGGATGCACTATCAGCAGATGGCTGGCATCCAAGATTTTTTTAAATTTTCTTTTTTCAAATGAAGTAGGACACAGATGGTGACGTTTCTGCTTTCCCAAAGCCTGGAACATGAACATAGACCTGTCTGAGCTGGGAAGCTCAAATCCATAATATGTTTCTGGAGAGCTGCACAAATTACTGCACGGACCAGTTTAGCCTAAAGCAGTCCCACATGTGGCAGTATTTCCCCCTGCCTGCTTTTATCCAAATTGGAGGTTTTGTTCTTCTTGTACTGATCTCACCATACTTGATGCCTATTAGCTACATCCTTTCAGAAGTTCAAACAAGCTCTGTAGAAATTCCCTGCCACTGTAAGCAATACATGCATACCCAAGGTAAAATCCTCATTGTACCTTTGAAAAAATTACCACATTTGTATTCTTCCACCACCTCATGCAAGGTGCTGGTTGCCCACCAGAATCTAGGCTCTCTAGATTCTGCAATTCTCACAGCTGCTGTCCACACTGGCAGCTCCATCACCTCCAAGCCAGTGGCAGTGGCTCTTGGCTCATCACATCCCAATAGGCAGTGGCTAGTGGGAAATTATGGGAAGAGGCCCACTGCCCTCTCTCCTGCAGGAACTACAGAAGAAGGAACGAGACTTCTCAGCTCCATTTCATCGAGGACAAACCTTCCACAGAGCTAAATTAGTAAATGCCGACTTACCAGCCACTCCTCATTTAGGATGGGGAACAGCAGGAGGAAGAATACCTGGCTTTTATTTGAGAGGGGCAAATTTGGCAGCAGCAGCAGATGCTGGGGACAACAAGGCCACTGCTGTTCCTGCACAGGCAGGCTGGTGTCATGCAGAAGGAAGCAGGAGCAAGCAGATACACCACTCCTCATGGTGTGAACCCACCATGGTACCTTACTCCTAGGTAGGGTAAATAGGCACCAAAGGACAATGGCAGAGAGAGCTCCCCTTGCAGCAGGGTCATTCAGAAAGATGTGTTTGCAAAACCCTTCCTTGTCCCTCTCAATGCCACAAAGTGAAAGTAAAACTCCTCATCTTACATTTGAGCATTACCAACCATTGCTATGTACTGATACTGTAGACGTTTATACAGTATCAACTTCAGCTTCTACATCAGAGAAAAACTTTCCTAAAAAAACCTAAAAAATAAACAAACCCCTCCCATCATTTCTTTCCCCATAGTCAGATTTTCTGGCTATACATGCAACATTAAAACAGAGAGTAAAGATCAAAGAAGAAAGTATCTCTGCTTGGAATAGACTTCTCAAAGTGTGTCAAAACACACTTTTCATGGAAGACCCAAGTGACAAGGGAGACTTTCCATTAAGCCCTCAATGTGTATAGACTCTGGAAAAGGAGATCTCCCAGCAAGTGAGCAACCTAAGGCTTATGCCAGTCCTTCCATCCTCCTCTCTGACCTCTTCTAGGGAAACACTGCATTTGACTTCCTCATATGCCTGTTTAATCAGCAATGTGAAACTTGTACAACCTTCTGTTTAATCAGCAATGTGAAACTTGCACAACCTTACCAGTGTCTCTGTGGTCTCCCCATCAGGGCAATGAGTAGAAACACACCCCAAAGGAGCAGAACATTCATAAGTCTCCCATGCCCACGGGATGGAAAAGCGAGTGGGGAGAGAACAGATGAATGTTAATCTCTCCTCCTTGCCGCCAGCAGCAGTCTGTACTCTCCCACGCAGACAAGAGGGAGGCTGTACAATTTGTTGAGGCCAAACTGTCTGGAAAAACGCAAGGAGAGAAAACTGATGGCAAATTCTCTTCTCTATCTCTTCTTGTACAGTAGGGAAAGTGAAAGTCAGTCATAGAGTTGCTGATAGAACATGAGACCACAGGGTCTTTAAGGGGCTGCTTTTATGCAAACCGCAGTGCTGGGCTATGGAGGACTCAAACAGTTCAACATATTTGCTGCCTAAAATATTCTGCTCACACACTGCTTGCACTCTGACTTCTTAATGGGAAATACTTTCATTGGCAGATTAAGCTTTTTGTCTGATCATAAGAAAACAAAACGGAGCTGATAGCACTCCATTACGGATGTTAATTCACAAATGCAGGACTTCTCTCTAGCCTACACGACTCCAAACACCTACTTCCTAACCACGAGGAGGTAGCCAACAAGCACATGAAATAACTGAGCTTGGAGCAGTTGCCACCACAGACACTTCTTTAACTGATCTGTGCCTCAAAGGTGCCTGTCAGCACACAGGGTGTACATGTGCCAAACGAGAGCATGGGGGAGAAGCTCCAGGCAGGAAACAGAAGCTTGTCTTAGATTAGCACAGCTCACTCAAGTGTAGTGCTATGCTCAGATTTGGTTTTGATTTGCAAACCTTGCTGTCATTGGCTAAGAGGATGTTTCAAGTTTTGCTAAAATAGCCAAAAAACAAAAGCCAGAAAGCTGAAACACACAAATGAAATTAGCCTGGCAGCAGTAGGTACCTTTAAAAATATACAAGATGCA